GGCATCCGAGTGGGCTTTTATTAGGTGCCTAGTGTTTGGACATGGCAAGTGAGGGAGTTCTAGGCGTTTTTGGGATTTAATTGATTTTGGTATTTTTTTTTTAATTTTTTTTTGCAGGTGGGCCTCGCGCTCTCTCGCGCTTGTTTAGGGTTTTGAATTTGGGCCTGATTTACTCTTTTTTTGGGAGCCAGGGTCTTTTATATACAGACAGACTCTGCTCTCGCTCGCTCGCCTCGCACACCCGCTGCTCGGCTCTCCTTTGAATTTATTTGGCTTTGGTACCCCCATAATATATACCTTTCTTCACTTTGGTACCCCACCCCACACTTTAGATAACACATTAGGGTGTCAATTTTTATTTTGGTAGACATAACGTGAACTGAAAGTACACCTAATATGAACTATTATTAGATTTAACATGAACTGTTATTAGACATAACATGAACTGAAACTAGACCTAACATAACCTGAAACTAGACTTAACATGAATTATTATTAGACATAACTTGAACTGAAATTAGACCTAACATGAAGTATTATTAGACTTAACATGAACTGAAATTACACCTAACATGAACTCTAAATAAACCCATGTCTTTTTTGGCTAACATGAACTGAAAATTAGACCTAACATAAAATTAGACCTAATATGAACTCTAAATAACATAAAATTAGACCTAATATTATTAGACTTTAACATCAACTAAAATTAGACCTAATATGAACTGAAATTAGACCTAACATGAACTGAAATTAGACTTAACATGAACTATTATTAGACATAACATAAAATAAAATTAGACCTAACATGAACTATTATTAGACTTAACATGAATTAAAATTAGATCTACCATGAACTCTAAATAAACCTAACATAAAATTAGACGTAATATGAACTCTAAATAGACATAACATGAAGAATAGAGGAGATAATGATATTTTGAGTTTTTGTACTTTTTATGCTCTCTCTATGCTTAGTTGACGGGTAATAATTACTAAAAGATGGTTGCAGCATATGATGTGACACTTCTTGGGGCTGAACCACATTAAAAAATGAAAGGGCTGCAACATATGAAGATATTACTTTTAGGGCATTGACACAATTTTATCTTTATTTTTTTTCAATTCAAGATTTTTTTGTTATTGTTGCAATTAGACCTTTTTATTTCACTTGCATGCGTGTGCTGGTGCACACTTGTAAAGAGTTTTTTGGTTGGAAAAAATAAAATAAAATAATAATAATAATAAAATATTGCAGACACGAAATGTTACAATCACGTTTCTAGCCTTAACATACGGTAGTTTCAAGATAGTTGGAAACTGTAATTTACTTTACATTTTTATAAGAAAATGATGTCGAGAAACCGGAACAAATCTCGCAAATCTTAATGACCTTTACAATTAGCGAAACATTAAATCGAATTTGAAAAAAAATATTTCCAGAAAATAAAGATTTATATATCTAACAATGGACTTTTAGATTAATTTTGGTGCAATAATTTCTACGAGCATTTCTACATGCGACATTTATTCCTATATAATAATAGGAGGATCCAAGAATTACTATTCATTCTACAGTAATTTACCATAGTATTTTAAAAATATCACTGTAGCATAGGCGAGATATTGCAGCATTATTTAAAAATATTACTGTAGCATTTTAAAATATGTTACTGTAACAGAGATGTGATACTATAGCATTTAAAAAAATATTAATGTAGCAATTAAAAATATATTGTTGTAACATTTTAAAAATATTGTAGCAATTAAAAAATTATTGTAGCAATAAAAAAAGAGAAAGTCGTGCGCACACTAGTTAGGTGTTTGGTTGTATGTTTTTACCATGTAAAAAGGATAAAAAATGTAAAAAAGTGGTCCCAATGTCACCTTTCCTCATTTTCAATTGTTTGTTTGTAGTTATGAAAATAGTGTAAAGTGATTTCATATGCTAATGTGGTTTGTAAAGTGATTTCATAAAAAAAACACATGATTTTAGGAGAAAGATGACCTCCAAGTTAGGAAAAAATGATAAAAAATAATTCCAACCAATATGATCATTTGATTAGGGACCACTTTTTACAATTTCCAAACAAACAATTAAAGTTACATTTACAACCAAACAAGTAATTTATGATTCCAATGGAATAAAAAACAAACAAAAAAAAGTATAAAAGTGAAATTGATGAGGTGGATAATAACTTTTCAAATTGTGTCATAAATACACAACTTTAACAACAACAACCAAACATGTTCAAAATAGTAAACAACCCTTAATTAAAAAAGTGGCCCTAGAGTTTAAGGGCCCACTCTCAGTTTTTGCTTTCGTGGGGCCCACGTGCTTCACGCATCAGGGGGGTCATGATGGAGCAGGTTAAGCTATCGTGAAGCTGCGGTGATCCGACAAGGAGGAGACGGGAGGCCCATTCATTAAAGCGGCACCTGAAGAAACGCCACGTCAGTTCGGGAGAGGTCGGAATCAATCGAGCAGCTGCTTCAACATCTCACGTAACAATTTCTTTCTTTTTTTCACCATAAATTCTACAGTTTGGGGATCTGTTGCTGATTTAGTTTACTGAATTTTGCTTTGATTCTAGTAGAACCGGTAAAGATTGCGCCTTTGAATTATGAATGAAAGCAATTTGAATTTCTTTTTTTTTTTAATAGTAGCCTTTCAAGTGGTTGGGTCCAATGGACGGAAGAATAATGTCAAAATCATGCTCTCTTTAAAAGTACGAGTTGGAGAAAATCTTTTTATGATCAATATTATCCTTATCTTTTTTGAACATTACATTGTTATCCTAATCTATTCTAATTATCCTATCTTCTTTGAATTGGTAACCAAATGATTTATTCTATTCGTTATGAGATTTAACATGTTATTGGATAAAATAAATACGTTTTATATAATTCAAATCATTTACTTATTTTAGTTCGTAGAGAAATCTAAAAAACATATGCTAACCAGCACTAAAAAAATTTTTAGACTTTGTAAAAAATATTCTCCAAGTTTTTCAAAATGTAAAAACGGTCATACAAAATTAAAATTACATTAAATTATTTTTAAAATTATAAATTTTACTTATCTTAATTCGGTGAGAAATTTGAAAAACATAAGCTAAGTAGAAACTGAAAGTTTTATGACTTTGGAGAAAACATCTTGTAAGTTTTAAAATTATAAAAACACCCCTAAAATTCAAAATTTATAAAAAACACCTTAAAAATTTTAAACCTATAAACATACTAAAAAAACTACAAATAACACAAACAACTCCCAAAAACTTATGGAATTTGTAATACACACTATGAACTTTTTACAAATTACAAAATAAAACCCTTAAAATTATAAAATTTTATAAAAATCGTGATAACTTCTGACCTAACAGTACATTAAAAATATAGGAATTATAAATAACCCCTACACAATTTATAATTTATAGAAAACACCCTTAAAGTTTTAAAAATTGTAAACAAACATTTAACATTGTAAATTTATAAAAAAACACCCTAAAAACTTCAAAGTCATTAGTAAATTGAATGCATAGGAATTATAAATAGTCTATAAATAATTTACAATTTGTAAAAATGCATATCAGTTTAAAAAATTATAAAAAGTCCTTAAAATTCATAATTTATAAAAAAAATATCATGAGGATTTCTAACCTATAGGTACTAAAATGAATATGCAAAATTACTAACAACCCTAGAAAATTAAAATTTTGTAAAAAATATCATACACATTTTAAAAGTATAGGTTTAGGAAAAACTTTTCATGATAAATATTACCCATATCTTTTTTTGAAAAGAACATAACTAATCGAAAATCTATTAAATTTGAAATTTATAAAAAACACCCTCAAAGTTTATTACATTGCAAATTGCCCCTCCAAAGTTTAATAATTTTTTTTGTAATTTTTTGATATCAATGTAATGTTTAATTTTTGTGTATTTATAAATTAAAAATTTTATGGTGTTTTTTTACACTTTTTAAAACTTTTGAGGATGTTTATTTTGTAGTTTTCTAAAATTTTATTGTGTTTTTAGTGTAATACACATATACACCAATTAATGATGATATTGAAGAATAAGTCATTCTTAAGATTATTAGACCATAGTTAAGTGTGCACATCACTATTCTTAGACAATATAGTTTATATATGTAAAAATTTTCGGACAATCTATATAGTGATTAAAAACATTTTGATGTTAATGTACTAATTTTACAAATTATATTTAATGTGAACCCACTATATAATTTTGACTGTGATCATCATAATTTTAATACGTTTGATTGATTGACTATATACATATATAGACCATAGATTATTTTACTTTCTCACATGAGCTAATATTTAGTGCTTAGTAATTTAAATTATTAATTTTAAATTTAATATAAAGAGAAGATCTAATAATAATTATTTATTTACCTACATCATAATACAATCTCAATTCCTATTTTTTGCTGGAGATTTATTCCATAGTTACGCGTATCAAATTAGTAACTAAAACAATAAATATTTATGCTTAAATTAGGATGATTGTATTTGGTCACTCACTATGAATTTTTTATAAAGATATATACCTTACTTTCTATAGCTATCTGCACTTTCTAAACTATCGGCTACGCATCCTGATGCCTTTCCAGATGTTTCAAAGACAACCCTACTGGACCAAAGACCTGAACTTGAGAGGCCTCTCCAGCAGTTGTTGGGACTTCAAAAACCGACAACATCGAAATGAAGCTGAGGCATAAAAACCGACATGGATGGGAGCTTTCCAGTGTCGTAACTTCTCTGTTTCTGCTGTATAGATGATTGGCGATCTCTGTTTCTGCTCTTGAATGTAGCCGAGGCTTTTAGATGTATCAACCATCTTGACGCGTTTCAAACTTGCAGCTAAGCCAATCCGTTCGGATATAGCTCTTTCCATGGTTTTCGTCTGAATCAGTCTGCAATGATCGGTTTGATTGCATTTTCCACCAAACAGACTAAAACCAGACACCAAGGTTCCAAAATAATATTTTGCATTTTCAGGATCAATAGCTTAGAATTCAAACACTTTCACGATGCGTAGAGGTTAGTCAAACTAGTCCATTGAACCCCTCCACTTCAAAAATGATGGTATGCAAATATAATACACAGGAGATCACGAAATAGAACGAATTTCATCAGAGAACGCATATGATCTACTTCTTAAGTAAGAAAACCAGAACTGGGCAAGTCGGGCGGTTAATCATTTCAAACTTGCAGCTGGCCCAACTCTCCATAGGCAAGCTAGATGCAAAGGATTGAACAGTTTCCAGTTCATCCCTGAAAGAGCGGGGAAAGAGAAAAATATTAAAGGGCTGATTGAAACATAAATATATGTCGCGGAGGTTTAAGAATATGAGCGTTTCTGCAGGAGTTACCTTCCACCGGGATGTCCCACATAAACCACCGTGCTGATAAGTCCTCCTGAATCCAGTAATCTACTTGCAGCCTGAAGAGCCATTAATGTCGTGGGTGATCTTGTGATAATTGACTTGTCTCCTCCTGGAAGGTATCCCAGGTTGAATGCTACAAGCCTGGCAAATTTTCAGCGGAAATGATTAATTAAGGACCGATGCTTAAATTTATTGATAGGAAAATTTTCAATGAAGAGAAAAATATCATAAAGTTTCAAAATGTGGAACAATAACATATAGGACAAATTTTTAAAAAAGACCTTTTTTTAATATTAATAAGCAAAATCGACCGCTTACAATTTTATTCAGCAAAATCGACCGCACGGGACTAGCAGTCCCGTGCAGTTCTCCCAAAACCCCCAAAAACACCCGAACTCCTCTCTCCCCCTCAGTCCCTCTCCCTCTCCTCCCTCCTCCGCCCTCTCCCAAAAACACCCGAACTCCTCAAAAGCCACACCTCCTCTCTCCCCCTCTCAGTCCCTCTCCCTCTCCTCGTTGGCGGTCAATTCCATCTAAGAGCAGACCGATCTCTTCGTTGGCCTCGGCCTTGAGTTTCTTGACGGTGTCGGGTGAGAGGTGGAAGAAGCAGTGGGATCGAGCGGCGGGATCGACGGACACCCGCTTGATGAACTCCGCGGGGCCTTTGAACGGCATGCAGATCGGAGGCGGTCACGAGCCGAGGAACCAGCGGTCGACGACGGCTACACTACAATCGCCCCCGACGTCGACGTTCACGGCAGGGCCGCGCGAAAACTTGGACCAGGTGCTGATGAAGTTCCAGAGGGTGAACCCATCGCCGGTAGTCCCGTGCGGTCGATTTTGCTGAATAAAATTGTAAGCGGTCGATTTTGCTTATTAATATTAAAAAATGGTCTTTTTTAAAAATTTGTCCTAACATATACTATAAAATAGGTATTAATTTATAATAAGACATGGAAAATCAAATCCATGGTAGTTATCTGACAAATAAATGGAAGTTCATGGTAGTTTGGCAGGTTTACATGAAAACTCATGGTAGCTCTGTAAAACATGAATTAAAGTTCATGGTATTTAATTCGTGGATAGTTTATGAAAGTTAATGGTATTTTCTTGTCAGTTTGAAAGTTTGTGGTGCTTTTCTCTAATAAAAATGGCTTATGATATTTTGCGCAAAAAATCTAATAGGTCCTGGCGGTTTAGTTAAATTTAGGTCTGTCC